AAGTTTATTAATAAAAATATTTTTGCTGAGAAAAAAAAGTCTACACCAAAGAAGGGGAAAAAACATTTGTAGAAGAATATATTAAATATTTTAACCGTTAATCGGTTGGTTAATTTTAGGTTCTACCAATTAAGGTTAATGATTTTTTTAAACTTCAATTATTGATTAATTCAGTTCACAAATAGTTAATTAACTGATTAATCAAAATTATTAAATATTTAATATATTATATATATTACTTAACTTTAGGAGTGTTTAAATCTCGGTTTTAACCAAAATGATTGAAACGTTAAATATTTAATATATAATTATATATATTATTAATAAATTTCGATTAATTTGATTAATTAATCAAATTAACATAATTTTATTTGATTCGATTAAAAATTAATTGAATTAATTATTGAAAAAATCGATTAATAACTTTTAGATAATTTGATTCGATTGACTAATGAAAAATTATTAAATGGTCCCGACTTACCAGGTTATCCGTGGTTCCAATCAATAATATTTGTTCATATTTTTTTCAAGGTGAATATTTACCTCTTTTCTATGTGTAAATAAGAATTAAACTGTTATTTAGAAGTTATTTTAAAATTTGTGACTTTCATTTACTGGTACCACAAGTAATATAGTAAGCTATATCCATCAAATAATTTCTTGAAACTAATCGATTAAACATCCCTTATTATAGAGATGAAATCATGAGGGTGAGGTATAGAGTGAGAAGACAATGGGGATATTCCCGAATACTAAATGACAATCCTCCGACACATCAACTCAAACCAGCAATAAAAGAAACACACAACCTGTGGCTGCCCCCATTTTGTACCCAAATTTAACCACTTGTTTGATATCGCACAGGCTTTTTCCAAATCAAAATGTATTATGTGAATGTATACAACAAATATAAAACAATTCCTCCGAATCCCAATGTCAATTATTGTGGGGGGGGGGGGGGAATACCCATACCGTTCACAGGGCATCACACCTTTAAAACCATGCATTTGCTGTATTTCGGATGCTCCAAATCCAAAGCTTTTGACATTTAAAAAAAAACATTATCAACACACCTAATGAAACATAGTGTGTTCATGTATCAGGACAATCTCCCATGCCTTTCCTCACTTTCATCTCATTAAAATATTTAATCCCATATTAAAATAACATAAATATTTGCAAAATTAAAACTTGGCTCTAGGCTTCCACTTCATTGTCTCATGCATGTTCAATATATGTACGTGTATACATAACGGTATGTTTCGATCACATGTCATTAAAAAATAAATAAAATTATTGTCAACATAAAATTTTCAATGATTACATGTCATTACCTTATGAGACATATCAACATCATTGTTATTTTTTAACGGCGGATGACCAAAACGGAACTGAAATAGGATATTATGTATGATTCTAAAAGTAGCATTCGGGTGATCAAAACAAAATCATGAGTGACTGAATACTTAATTTACCTTTTTTTTACAGTATTAAGTGGTAATAAGATATTAATTGTTCAAAATTTTTAATATATAGATTTTATAAACAAAATTACTTAAAATTGAATCCACTAATAAAAACAATAATTTTCTACCACTTAAACCAATAAATAGATTCGTACGTATATACATTAAACACACATATACGTAGATTCATATATACACGGTGTGAAGCAGAAGCAACAGCTTCAACGAAGAGAGAGAGACAGAGATGGAGAAAGAGTACCCAAATGATGTTTACAAGGAGTGCTTAAGAAACCATGCAGCCAGCCTCGGCAGCTACGCCACCGATGGCTGCGGCGAGTTCACGCTCGACGACACCTCTCTCTCAACCCTGCAATGCTCCGCATGCGGTTGCCACCGCAACTTCCACCGCAAAGTCACCTACTGCAGCAGCACCAGCGTAGACCGGATCGATTACGGAGACGAAGGCGGCAGCCGAGGAATATGTCCAACGGAGGAAAGAGACAGGGGCGGAAAGAAGCGGTTCCGGACGAAATTCACGGCGGAGCAGAAGGAGAAGATGCTGGGATTTGCAGAGAAACTAGGGTGGAAACTGCAAAGGAGAAAGGAGGAAGACGAAGTGGAGAGATTTTGTAGAGGGATTGGGGTGAGTAGGCAAGTGTTCAAGGTGTGGATGCATAACCATAAGAACTCTTCGGCTGCTTCATCTACCTGCAATGTATCATCTCTTACAACTCCATAGATCTCCATTTTTCTCTTTTTTTTTTGTAAGTTTTCTTTCGTTTTAGTTCATGTTTGGTTTCCTAGAAAATTAAGCCACCATAACTTATATATATATATATATATATATATATATATATATATATAATATATATATATATATATATATATATGCTCATCCTTGTTTAGTTTTTCAAAAATTATGAAGATGCACATTTCCCTGAATCTGAATCTGATTATTTTTTCATAGGTTTTTTAGTATTATTATATCAAATATTAGTTCCGGAATTTGAATTGATCATTCCTTTAACGTAACGAGCATATGATATTTTTTGGTTATATAAATCTCTGAATTTATTTAATTTGTATACTAGTTCGTGAAATTTTTATATATGTTCATGGATTAAAAGTAATACTTCGACCCGGTCCGACCCTCCACTAGAACTCGGCCTGACCCGACCTCCTCCCTAAAAAAATTCGACCTGACCCGATTTTAAAAAAAATCGACCGTAGTGAGTCGTAACCCGTTGGATTTAGATTAAATTGACATCTTTATAATAAACCATAAGCACTTTTTTATTAAAATAAAAATAAATTATTAAAGTTAACAGCATTTTGTTATTAGTAAATTATGTCTTACTTTGTTTTGAGTTTCTCTACCATTAAAGATTTGAGATTTTTACCCTTTTTAAGGTAAAATATATGTTTAATATCCAAAATTTTATCATTATTCTGTTTTGGTACCCAAACTTTATTTATTTTCAAAACCATTCCTAACGTTTAGTTCAAGTTTCATTTTAATACCCGTCGTTAAAAGTTTAACGTTGACGTTGACGTGTCACAATAAAGAAATATCCACTACAACAAAACAAATTTTTAGCAGCGTTTTAAGTGTCGCTAAAAACACTGTGGCGAAAACAATGTCACTAAAAGTGCCGCTAAAACCAACGTCGCAAAAGTTAGCGACTTTTGTCGACTACAAACGCCGCTAAAGGTTATGATATTTAGCGGCGTTGTTTCCACAAATGCCACTAAAGGTTATGATATTTAGCGGCGTTGTTGAAGAACGCCGCTATATATCTTTTCTTTTGTGGCGTTTTTAAAAAACGCCGCTAAATGTTCTGACATAGTGGCGTTTGTTCCCAAAAACGCCGGTAAAGGTCATTACATATAGCGGCGTTTGTAAATGTTAAACGCCGCCATTGACTATGTCTATAGTGGCATTTTCTGTATAAACGTCGTAAAAAGAACTAGAGCTTTAGTGTCGTTTTTTCCTAAAACGCTGATATCGAGTATGTATTTAGTGGCATTTGTTATACAAACGATGCTAATTAACACAAATTTTGCCGATGATGTTTTCTGCTCTTTTATTACCCAAATTTAAATTTTTAACTTGTAGTACTATCCAATAAACATGACATCCATAACAACAAACTTGAAATCCATAATAATAAATCAAAGTTTATAATAACGTAAAATATAATGCAGAATAAACAAAGCATATATCTAACATAACACCTAAGATGGTGGACTATGAGGTTGATTTTGTCGTATCATCTACATCATAACTTCAAGTCGATTTTCAAAGTCTTGACATTTTAGTTGATATATATGTTGCTTCTCTCTCTGCTTCCCTCGCTTCATTTTCTGCTTTCATTTGAGCAACTTTTTGATCCATTTCAGCTGACTGTTGTTTTAAACGACTAATTTCTAATTGGGAAAACTGACTCTGTGATGACATGTACTGAGATGACCTTGATCCAAAATATTTGGTGGGAGTAACGAATGATCCTTGACAGCAAACCCAACCATATCTTTCAGGACCCAAAACTTCATTAATAACTTGATTTTCGATGTCATCCGCATTAACAATACCATGACTTAAAGTCGTAGCTTCATACCCCTCCCTTTTATCCCTCAATTTTTCCTAATAATCAATTCAATAATTATTTTAAATAAGAATGTCATACTATATATATAAATATAACATAATTCAAATCTAATGTCTAATAAATGTACCATAATTCCTTCAACGTTGTACGTCCTCTAGTCTTGTGTGTTCGATCATTTTTCAACTATATAAGAAATAATTAAATATAAGTTTTCAAAATGAATCGGCAAATAAAGAAAGTGTCGAACATTATCTTCAATTTCTACAACTTCTTCAACAGTAATCGGAACTTACGAATAGACAATAGCAGTCGATTCCTCATTATTTGTTTTCTTCCTCTTGAAAAGCTCGAACAATCTGCAAATCACTTAATTTTCTTATGGGCATGATATCTGTAATAAACAAACAACAATTTTAGTAAAAATATTACTATTAACGAATATATTAAAGAAACAGCAATTAAAGAAACAGAAATGGAAAATCGCAACGCGATTTTCAACTATCGCAACGCGAAATGGAAAATCGCAACGCGATTTTCAACTATCTCAACGCGAAATGCAACGCGAATTTGCGATAGTGGAGATCGCAATGCGAATTAGAGATCGCATTGCGATTTTGTTGGTCATTTTCGCAAATCCAAAAAAAATTGGTCAAAATCGTATATTATCTAGGATTTTTGGTCACTGAGGTTATTTTCTCTTAAAGAAATTCGAACTTTCGTATTAAGCAACTTACTTGGAAGAATAGTTGTAGTTACAAAAAGATGAACGCAACCTTTATTCCTTTTTTTATAAACTTTAAAGGTACAAACTGTACCTAAAAATTAGGCACAAACCTTGAAGTGGAGTTTTGATGGACGCAAAACAAGAGTTTCACAGATTTAACGTCAACCTAATCCACATAGCAATAATGTAAAGAGATTATAAGTGAGGGATAAAAAGATAGCTAAACCCAGCAAAGAGATTATGTAAAGGAGCTAGAGCAACTTCTTCAATCGCTGGAAGCGCAGAAGAGAATGAGAGAATTTAAAAGCAGAAATATTAGTGATAATTCAGTACCTAAGCCCGCTATGGAACCAGATTATGGAGATGAAGTAAACGCAGAAAGCAAATCTGGTGCAGCCGAAATAGAGGTTAATGTAATAAACAGTCATGTCAACTTAAAGATTCAGTGTTCAAGAAGAGTTGGTCAGGTGGTGCAAGCCATTGTCACCTTGGAAAGTTTTAGATTAACAGTTTTGCATCTCAACGTTACCAGTTCCCAAGCATCTGTTCTCTACTCGTTCAATCTCAAGGTAAATATTCGTTTTTGAAGTTTTGTTTTGTTTTTTTTTTTGGCTGAATTCCTAGTTCTACAATTTCTTAAAACAATTGTCTTGTTTTCTTGTTGGTTTGGTTTTGTTGTCGGAAATGGAAATGGCAGATGGAGCGGCTGAGATAGCAGCAGCAGTTCATCAAATATTCAGCTAATTCAAAGTTAAAAAAGGAAGAAAGATATTATCATTTCTCATTAGGCAGCTGACTTTGATTCCTCCCGAAAGAAGGGTCCATTGTTTGTTCCACAGACAACTCAAGACAGATCCCTTGATGTTTACATCTTAACTTAAGAGACTTCCCTAGCTTTATTACTAATGATTCTACCTGCTTTACTTAATAGAAATGATAATTAAATCTATGTAATTTCCCGTAAGATGTTTACTAATGACTTTATGTAATATTTCCTTTTTGGAGCCAAAATAGAGCCATTAAAGCCTTGGAAATATCTAACAAGAAAGAAAAGAATGGCAGTAGGGATGGATGGGGTTATAAATCTTACTACTACTTTGTCACATGGTGTCCTAAATTTTATGTTTTGGACTGAAAAATACAATCTAAATCATTCATATGCTTGAATGAGGTTACCAAGGTTTGACCGTCTGCTGAAGCAGGTTCTGAGGTGACAATCTTTTTTAGCTGAACAATGTCATGACTCGATTAAGCAGACGTATTTGGAAGAAGAAGAGGGTTTTGACATAAATAAACAAAGTCAAAGGTTTTTAATTCGATGAAGCTCAAAAAGAGCAAGTGAGCAACCCACGTTCCCACACTGAAATTTGTCATAAGGAAGCTGCTGCAGCAGCACACATCCCTATGTGAAAAAATAATCGAAAGAAGAAGATGGAGCGAGGCAGAGACAAATCGGGAAGTTCTACAGTGTGGTAGGCTTAAAAACGGTTAAAATAATGTGTTATCGGTTTTGTTATCGTTTAAATAATAAAACTGATAAAAATTATCTAAATTTTTCCGGTAATTACCTAAAATATTATGTTAATCCGGTATTTTTTAAGCCTAATAATGTTTCCAGTATTTTTTTTAAAAATCCGGTAAAAAACACCCAATAATAACAAAATCGATAGCGCCTAATAATGTTTCTGGTAATTTTTATTGATTTTATTATTTAATACAATAACAAAACCAATAACTCCTTATTTTAACCGTTTTTTAATCTCCCGCACCGAAACTATCCCAACAAATCACCCTCTCATTGTAGCCAATGTCATAGTCATTTTAATCTTCGTGTTGCTTTCCTTATGACAGCCTTACCTTCAGTTTTTCCAAAAGTTTTATAGCGTGCACGATTAATATATAACTAAAAAAAGTGTTATCAGTTTTTTTATTATTTAAATAATAAAACCGATAAAAAATTATCTAAAAAATTATTATTTATATTTAAAACATTAATATTTTTAAATATTTTCAGTAAAGTGTCAAACAATAATAAAAAACAGTAAAAAAAATAAAATCGATAACGCTTTACCGATTTTATTAATAAACCGGTAAAACGTCCAATAATAATAAAACTGATAAAAATAATAGAATTTTTAATATTTTTTTTACCGATTTTATTATTTAAATAATAGTAAAACCAATAACATTTTTTTAGCTATATATTAGTCTCAATCCACCATTGTCATCCATTCCTTTTCCAAAACTCTCTACACTGCCTTCCACCCAGTGTTTTGAAAACTGGTTCAACTGGAAATCGTTACCTAGTCCGGTTCAATTGGAAACCGTTACTTAGTCCAGTTCAATCTACATCGATTGAACCGCTATTAGTGAACCGACCGGAATTGCTGAACCATTCAAATCGGACCAGCTGAAAACTGGAAAAAATCAGGAAAAACTAGAAAAAAAAAACCTGCAAATTTTGTTTTTTTTTAAAAAAAATTAAACCAAACGACGTCGTTTGTTAAACGAGCCAAGTCAAACTCGAGTATTGCTGATCTCAACTCGAACTTGAAAACTTTAAAAGTAAGCTCAACTCGACTCAGACTCACGTGCTAAAAATTATCAAGTTCAACTCTAACTCGAAATATAATATTGAAACTTGAACTTGAAAAGGCTTGAACTCAAAAAAAATTAGAAGCTTGATTGAAGCCTAAAATTCGAGCTTGATTAAAATGAAAGAATAGTTCACTCAATGCTCACCAAAAGACTCCATGATTTTGAATGTCAAATTACCTCTATTATTTATAGAAGTTAGTTGGGATGCTCTTCTATGTTTCTTAGCCATGTGGGATTGTTTTGTTCTCATATTTTTACTCTTTAGACTTTTGGGATGCTATTCTATGTTTCTTAGCCATGTGAGATTGTTTTTTAAAAAAAAATTAAACCAAACAATATCATTTTGTTATGATTGTTTAGCCCCAAATTTAATTTTTTAATTATAGTTATATAATTATATTTATTATTTAATATGTTTTACCTTAAATATTATGTTATAGTTAATTTGAATCATTTTTTTCATTTGATTTTATGGTTTTTAACTTATATATGTTATGACTTGCTTTGAATATGACTTAGATATAAAAAATATTTTTTATTAAATATTTTTGGTATTTTTATTTAATTTTTTAAATAATTATAACGTCGTCCGATTCTTCCGACCGATCGGACCGATTCGACCGATTGAACCAGTGAACCTATAGCATGACCGATTCGCTAACCGGTCCGGTTCTCTAACCGGTCCGGTTCTGAAAACCATTCTTCCACCCGTTTTCTTTTCGGTTTTCGAGTACCATAAGTTCTACTCAAAATCTTATGCTAATTAAAAACAGAAACCTATAGAAATGAATCCAATAACACAAACCCAGCAAAGTAAACCAACTAAACTTGAATATTACATGGTAAATAACGACAATAATCACTACAAATCAAATCTGAAGCAGAAAAAACCCCTTAAATTCTTGAACCTAAAGGAACGAAAACCAGAGATCAATCTAAAGCAGCAAACATTAAAGGATGAGAGCAAGAGAGAGTTAGAAACCTTGGTTTAGCTTTCACTTGCAGTAAAACTTGGAAACCCGAGAGCAACCGAAAGAGTGACGAAGAGAATAATAAAAGTAACAAAAGGTTGAGGAGGCCAAGCGCAAAATGTGTAGTAAAATAATATTTGAAAAATCAAACTTTCCTACTCGAAGGGAAATGCTATAAAAACAGCATTTCAAGAACCAGACATAATAGTGATTATCCTGTAGGCTAGCTCCGACAGACGATTCACAAGAGAAAATTCGCCCAAAAACCAGAGAAAAAAAAGTCTCTAGGGTTTAATAAAATATTATAAAATCAAAAACCATCCAAAAAGCAGTCCACAAGCCGGACTATTATAGCAAAAAAATCGTCTTTATTCGAATTTTGCCAAAAATAGCAAAATCCCGAAAATCACTCTAAATTGAAATTCGAAATAAAATAAGCAATCTCCCAAAAATCCGGCCTAAATCGGATTTAAATTGACTTCCTAATTAACAATCGAAATATTACCATAAATAGTAAAAAAAATAACTAAATCTAGTGATTCGGAGGGGAAAACGGCAGAATTTGAGGTTGAAAAAAAGGCCACATGGAGCATAGCTCAATGTGGAGAGCGTGCGCGTCGAAAAGAGCTTTCCGGATTGGGGTCTTTTGCGCGATTCTGACACCTGTAGCCAAAGTTATGGCCAAAAGACTAAAACATACTCAAAACGACCCCAATGAGGAACATGTCACAATCAATTCCCGCCTTTTGCGCTGATCTGCCAACTCATGGTATCTCAGCGCCATCAACGTGCAATCTGACAGCTTAGCATCATCTGTCTCGGATCCCCCTGTATCACTGTTGCTGCGAAAATGGCACCCAAATGGATGGTTTATAATCATGAAGATGGAAGAGTGTGAAAGAGAGAACCTGTTGCTGATCGGAAACAGGCTTCGGCGGCGTGATGCTGCGCTTGTGATGATGGTTGGCCGGGGTGACTTCACTGTGATGGCTGGGCGTTGGTTAGGAAAATTAAGAATTTCTGAATGAAACAATTAGGGATTTAGAACATAATGGGTTAAAGGATTGCATAATCGTGTCGTTTATTATAAAAACACCACTAAGGTACATGACTATTGCGGCGTTTATTACAAAAAAGCCACTAAAGTACATGATTATTGCGGCGTTTATTACAAAAATACCACTAAAGTACATGATTATTGTGGCGTTTGAACAAAAACGCTACTAAAATACAAGTCTATAGCGGCATTTGTATAAAAACGCCACTAAAGTATGAGCCTATAGCGAAGTTTGATTGAAAAATGCCGTTATACACCAAATGTCACTTTTATTTTAAGTATATCATATTTTGGTCATCCGTTTTGAAAAAAAAATACATTTTAATCATTGAGCCGTTTGTTTAAAAAAGCCGCTAAAGTACAACTCTGTTGCGGCATTTGTTGAAAAACGCCACTATAGATGAATTCTATTGCAGCATTTGTATAAAAACGCCGCTAAAGTACTACTATATTGCGACGTTTGTTGAAAAAATATCACTATAAATGAACCCTATTACGGCGTTTATTGAAAAAATGCCACTATAGATTAATCCAATTACGACGTTTGTATATAAACGCGCTAAATTTACTATTTTGTGGCGTTTCTAATGGAAATTCTAATGGAAATTTCGCTATATGTTTAAAGTTAATGGCTTTTACTCTCAAAACGTCGCTAAAAATACCGTTGTAGAACGGTTTTTAAAAGAGATAAAGCATGCGCCCTTACCAATCCAAGGACTAAGTTTAAACATGAATGCGAAGTTTCGGAAATAAAGCATGCGCCCATACCAATTAGCCTAGAACATCAACTGTGCTGCAAAATAAACGATAATGTGTATATATTATACTTAAATTAATACCAGCAAAAAGGAAAGGAAATGGGTGTGGTAAGATTCGAACCTAGACCAAATATAAAACTTGTCAGCACAAAACTACTAAAGCAAATATTATATTTGATTAAAATATGGATAGATATTTTATATATTTCAAATACAAGTTTATACGAGATTAAAAGAAATTATCTAAAAATTGATACTCTTTTTAATTTAATTAATAATTTTAACTTTTAATAAAAAAATAAAATTTATAAATCATTTCTATTTTAATTAATTTTTATTCGATTATATAGTTAAAATGTGTAATTAGAAATCGATTTTAATAATGTGCAAAACGTAAATTTAATTTCTCTTTTAATCTTGTATAAAATAGACATCCTGGTTCGATCCCTACCAGCCCCTATAATTTGCATTTCTTTTCTTTGTGATTTATTTTCTATCTAACCAGATGTTCCACGTGTCACTATCTGTTGAATAAAAAATAATTATATTAAATATATTAAATTACAAAAATAAAAAATAATTAAATTAAATATATTAAATTATAAAAATAACTTTTTTTTAAATAGTGTACTTTGTATTAAGA